TTAAGCATAAAATTCGAGATTTGGACCACTGATCTTATATTTTTGTTATCAGGTTCTTGAATAAAAGTCGTCGAGAAATGAGAAAGTTTCATTAGTACATTTTTGATCTCTGATTATGAAAAATCCACAACATCTGTTCATACGAAAGTAGTATCTAAATATCGAAAATAAGGTCTTTAATGGAGTAAGTGGAGAGTGGTCACCGGAGACCGCTTGGGGACTGGGCAGTGGCTAATTGGCGATCTGGCTAACTAGTCCAGGTTTTGATACAAATGACCTTGAAAGTTTTTAATTGGTTTTTGAGATTATTATAGCTGTCTAATTTACTTAGCGTACACGATAATTGTTCTCGTTAGCACAACATTAAAAAATTTTAAGTTGCAAGGTCATAAAAGTAAACGACCAGAACCCCGAATTTAAAACCACAACGCCTAATTATTTGGTTACTAAGACAGTGACGTCATATTTCTACTTTGTACTATAAGTCATATCTTAGATACCTTTATTCAATTTCTCTACAAATTTATAAATCAAACATTGTATGAAATATTTTGCAACATTTTCAGTATAGATTCGTAATATTTTGAAGTTATAGTTCATTTAATTTTATTAGTGAAGTGGAAAACTTAGATTTTCCAATAAAATCCAAGAGGTAATGGTGAATACATTCACGATTATTATGAATTTTATTTTTCAGTTTCCAACAAAGTTGCAAATATTGTTGTCTTCAATTTGGTTCTAATCAATTTTCTTTGAATTGTGTTCAATTTATCTTACTAACTGGAATTGTAATTTTGTTATGAGTTCTGAAGTATCTATGCAAGAACGTTTGCTTATCTATATAGTAAATGATTTATAACTTTCTGGTAACTGACAATCCAGTTATTTTATCAGTAAAATCTGATATAGCTTGATTGATTTTAACGAAAAAATTCGCCAGCTGAATTTTTACCCTCTAAAATTCTTTGAATTTTATGATGACCTCTTATTTCTATTCTGCCAACCAAAATTGAACCTTAAAGCCAATCAAGTTATATTCAAATAACTTAGCACACAACGCTATATTTACATGTTACGTGTAAGAATAAAAGTCGAACATAATAATTTGCCTAGAGCCATATTTCAATATAAGCTGGGCCGTAACTTGTCTTTACGACCTCGATACCGCCTACCTTTAGTCGTATCAGAAAACAGTTTGTACAAGAAATTATATTTTCAGCTCCATTATTCTGCTTTTGTAAATATCTATATTTTGGATTCTAACTTAGTACGAAAACAGTTCATTTTTGCGTACTACGTAACTTCTTATATAGAAATAGACGAAAGGGTAAAACAGATCGGCAATTTGTGTACTAGGATTTTTATAATAACTATCGTGAGACATATTAAATTAACTAGAAATTGTGGTTACTCACGTGAATATACTGAGAAAAGCTCTACTAGTTTCGAGCCACATAGGGGTTCTTCCTCATGAGCAGCGTGCGCGGTTACGGCGATGTCGCGCAGTCTACTGTATCTGTATGGCCTCTGTGGCTCGATACCAACAGAGCCTTTCTCATATTCACGTTTTATTTTATTTCTTTTATTCTTACTCATATTCACGTTAGTAACTCGCGGTTTTTAGTTAATATACTAGGATTTATTCAGTCCTGTTGTTTGCATTATCACTGAGGCAACCTAGAACTGGACATAATTTTAATGTCCACACAGGTGTTGACGCTCAATTTTTGCCTTATAATTGTGATTACAAAAAAAAGTATTTATTATTTATTTTTTGTAATCACAATTATAATACTTTTTTTACAAAAAAAAAGTATTTTATTAAAAAAAGTATTTGTGATTATAAATAAAAGTATGCCTTATAATTGTGACTAGCTTCTGCCAGCGGCTTCGCCCGCGATTCCAGGGGGAAAATGCCAATGTATTACTTCACACCATACTCTACCTCTGTTCCGAATTTCATTCCGGTCCCTTCAGTCGTTTTATATGACTGAGTAACAAACATATATATTTTCACATTTATAATATCGAGTCAAGCTAATTTCAGCCATCGGCCCTACAGTTACAGCGTAAAGTCAATAGATGAGAATTGTAAACGTAAGAGTAAACAAATATAAGCAGAAAGCTCCGAACTGCTAAACTATAGGGAGTTACACGTGTTATTGTAAGTCAACCATAAAAGATAGACATGTGATGTTGTGAGATATTATTTAGATAATTTTATGTAGAACATTTCCGTCATACATGATTTCTATGTAGCTTTAACTATTGAGCCTGCACACGCGACGGAAGCTTAAAAATGGAGTAACTTCTCCCGTTTTCCCAATATTTCCCTTCACTGCTCTACTCCTATTGATCGTAGCGTAATGAAAAGTATACTATAACCTGCCCAAGAGTATGAAGAATAATTGTGTTAAATTTCGTTAAAATCTGTCGAGTAGTTTTTGTTTCCATAACGAACATACAGACAGACAGACAGACAGACAAAAATTTTACTGATTGCATTTTTGGCATCAGAAGCGATCCCTAACCACCCCTTGATAGTTATTTTTTAAATATATTTTATGTACAGAATTGACCACTCTACAGATTTATTATAAGTATAGATTACAAAAAAAAGTATGCATAACGCCATCAACGTCAACCCGTCACATAAAATATAGTCCTCAAGGTACATTTTCTTTGGAGATCACAATTAAAAGGTTCGTTTTTATCAGAAAACGATGCTGCCTGATTAAATTATTGATGATTAAATGGCAATATTTTGAAGCAAACTTCAACGTACCATCTACTCTAAAGGACATTGCTCTGCGTCCATACATTGTTGGCCCTGGAGCCAAGAGTATCGAATAAATATGTATTGTATTATCTATTATTTGTAGACTCCTAGAGATCTTGTTTTTTATATCGGACTAGCTGCAGAAAAGATATTATTTCAATAAAAGTATCATACTCTCGACACTTTGGCAATGCGTAGAGATGTAGCTTCATTGTGCATTTTCTACCGCTTATACCACGGGGAGTGCTCTGAGGAATTGTTTGACCTGATACCTGCCGCATCTTTTCGCCATCGACCCTCACGACAGCATATGCATCCCCATCATATAGATGGTTGGCAGGCCACAACTGTGCGGTTCTCACGTAGCTTCCTGCCTCGCACAGCTAAACTGTGGAATGATCTGTCGTCGGCGGTATTTCCGAACCGATACGACCTTCAAACCTTCAAGAGAAGAGCGTACTCCTTTTTAAAGGGCCGGCAATGCACCTGTGACTCTTCTGGTGTTGCGGGTGTCCATGGGCGGCGCTGATCGCTTACCATCAGGTGATCCGTCTGCTCGTTTGCCTCCTATTCCATAAAAAAAAAATATTTTGCAGTTATAATCTAACCATAACAACTAATGTTTGATAGAATGTTTGAATGATTTTATAGGAGTAAAGAGGTTTTGATTACTGCATTTACTGTGTAACTGTATTTACTACCTATTTCAATTTGGAGTATGACTGCATTCATAAAGAAAAAAAACACAATCGATCGATTATGTTATGATTGATTGGACATCCCTATTTCACTTTCGACACGACATAACATAGGACTTGCTGATTTATTTATTTATTACATTAGGCGAAGGCATTCAAGATTAGGCGAAGATGGCGATCTAATGTTATTAATCGCGTTAAATTTTATTAAAAGTACGATTTAGAATACATCTAGTCCGTGACACAGAAGTATTTACAACTTATATAATGAAATAGGGGATTAATAAATATCATATATTCTCATACTCTTTATTGCACATGGTCATTTTGGACATTGTCCTTTTTAAATTGATACAAATCGGTTACACTTATATTAGTTTACTCCAGAAGACGTATTCAAAATTTAGTACTAATGCTCTGCAATAAAAGCAGTCATATTCTATTTGGCTCCACGATTGTACTCAAGGAACATTATTTTAAAAACCAAAGTTTTGTATTTTTCTGCACGGAACCAAGCATTGCAGAGTCATGATGCAACGGATTTCATTTGAATGTACCGTAACAATGGGTTTGGATGATGTCTAAGATGTAAGAAAAAAGCGGTCAAGAAGAATGAATCATATTTCTGTTACCTTAAGAGCTATTTTGTAGCACTGCCTTTAGAAGTGTAGAAGTCCCTATTAGTTAAAACACCAGTGGAAATTATCAGGTTTCAGAGTAAATAGCAGCGTAGTATCATTTATTTAAACTGTCATACACCAAGCGGTCACCGGTGACCGCAACCTATTGTTCTATAATTGTGTCTATAATGACGGTACTCGACGAGTTAATAAAACCAAGGGTACACTAGGAGACAAAAGTCCTGCGACACGTGTCGCCAACGACGTTGGGTGAAGTAGCGCGACGTTGTTGGACTTTGGTCGACATGATCATCAACGTCGTGTGGACATAAGTTGCGTGTTATTACCGTATATGTTAGGTGAAATCGGCCGGCTTCGCTCGACATGTCGCCGATACATAACATCACGCCTTTTATCCCCGAAGGGGTAGGTAGAGGTGCACATTATACTACTGTACAATGTAACACCCACTTTTCACTATTTATGTTATGAGTCCAATGTAATAGGGGGTGAGCCTATTGCTATATACCGGGCACATTTCCAGACTCCGTGCTACTACTGAGATTTTTTTAAAAACCCAGTAATACTTTGCCCGACCCGGGAATCAAACCCGAGACCCCTTGCCCAGCAGTCGCACTAGCGACCACTTGGCCAACGAAGCAGTCTTAATATAGTCATAATATATAATTTTGTCACCGATACATGTCTTGAAATATTTGTCATTTAGTGTATCCTTGGCTTAAACTCCGAATAAATAAATACATTCTGAATCAGACTTTATTCAGTTTGTAGACAGAAAAATGTTAGTTCTTATGCCACTTACCAAAAAGTTTGATACCAATGCAACAATGCCAAGAAAACATCTGTATAAAAATTAAAACAATCAAACTGACATATCGTGTCGTGTAAACACTTTTCGTTTTTAAATAAAAAATATACAGAAAAAATGAAAACAATACAGAAATATGATGTTACGATTTATAAGGACATTCATTTAGTACCATAAAAAAATATTATGCCCTTATGATTAAAATTGAAGTGACCTTTTAAAAATCCACATCCCCATAATATAGTACCGAAGCATCATGAAAACCTATTCAGAAACATACATCCCCACCCTCACATTCACCTGGTGGTGCAAAATATTTTGGCCTGGATTGAAGTTCAGATCAGATCAGGTCAGTCCCCAAGGCGTCAGGATGACAACAATGTATCCAACACATCGCCCAAGCCATCAGCACCAGTAAGTAATTTCAATAGCAAAATTATAATAAATCTTAAAACATATTATATCACAAAGGTGTAATAGTACTGAAGATGATTGGTGGTGGGTTCTCAGGGCGTGAAATAATTTTCGACACACGATTGACTGTAAATTGTATATTGGAATAAACTAAATAACTGTATAAACAAACTTGCACAATAATACAATATAGCTAAAACTCAAATATTCGTGGCACAAATACGGAGCGCGTGCGTCACTGCTCCGGCGCGGGACTCGTTGTTCTCTCGCCTCGCAAGCGTCGAGCGGTCAGTAGCGGGGAAGCGGGGGAAAGGAAGTAGTGTGGTGGCGCGTTGCCACTAGAGTAGCGCGCGTGCGTTCGACACAAACCTTAATCGAATTGCCGCGTTACAAAGGTCTTATAATCTAAGCCCCACAATTTTTTTTGCAATGGTTTGACTGTTTTATCTTATTGTATTGAACATGTACACCACGGCGACACGTCGGGCTATGCAAAACCAGTAACAACAGATTTTATGCAACAAATGCTGAAAAAACTAACAACAAACAAAGAATAATAATAATTTTATTTATTTCTCTCATCATCATTTACATAATAAAATGCAGCAAACGTTTTACAACTAAACCTGAGACTGGTGTCTATTGTAAGTTAAAAATGGAAAAATAACTATTATATTATTCAGTACTGATAGGTTACCCATAGGTTAAAAGTAGTTCTATACAAAATTATTCATTAAACCTTAATAGATATTTACAATTTTGTGGGCATTCAGTTATATCATTATGATATGAGCTTTTTCATTAAGTATTTAAAACCACTACAATTTGATAAAGGTCTGGAGCTGATCTGATGATGGAGCCGATAGGCAGTCGAGGGAATTCCTCAACGGTTAACAGTAGCTACATCATGTTTGGGTTTGATTGATTTGTATTGATGAGGACTTTATACCTAGGTTAAGTGTGGGAGAGCCATACTTCGGCATAAATGGGCCTAATTACCCTCCCCTTCCCCAACCTCCCCAATCTCTGAATCCCCGACGATCCTCAAACTCCTAATCCCCAAAAGGCCGGTGACGCACTTGTAACGCCTCTGGTGTTCCAGGTGTCCATGGGCGACGCGAATTGCTTACCATCAGGTGATCCGTCTGCTCTTTTACCGGCTTATATCATAAAAAAAAATGGTGGTATGTTATTGCCAATGGGTCTGATGATAAAGAAGTACTATAGTTGAGGAAACTCCTTAACGGTTAACAGTCGCTGTCTTGTGTTTGGGTTTGATTAATTTGTATTGATGAGGACTTGATACCTAGGTGTGGTGTGGTTGTCACTAAATGGCCAATGATAAATGGATGAAGTAGTATGATAGCTAAGAGAACAATGGTTAACAATAGCTACTTGGTTTTTGAGCTTGAATAATATGTAAGTATTGATGAAAACCACCGATGGTTGGTGTTGGATGGTTGTACGTTGTACATAATATAATTTATTCTAGTACTAAACTAAAAAGTACAAAATAAAAATTAAAAACTTAAACAAACCGACTTCATAAACTAAAAACAAACGGAATATAAAAACTAAAAAGCAAAAAATAACTATTGTTGGTCATACGTAGATACATATAGCGTACACACCCACTGATAGGTTAGAAGTCTGTGCCTCAAACCCATAACAAAATATATCTTAGGTAATGGTCACAGGTATAGTCCATAATAAAATTGTAAATAGCTTAATTTAATAATGTTAGGTATCTATTAAGGTTTTAATGAATAATTTTGTGTAAAACTGCCCGCACCTACAATTTTCGAAAGTTCTCCTCGGTTTCCCTAGGTTTCCATCATCAGATCCTGACTTCATGGAAATGGAACCATCTCGGGAGTATACCTTTTCAAACAAAACAAGAATTTTGGAAATCGGTTCACAAATGGCGGAGTAATCGGTGAACAAACAAAAAACCTATCACCCGAACATAATACCTCCTCCTTTTTTTGAAGTCTGTAAAAATCATACAAAACACGACCATGTTCAACTGGTTTTGTGGAGCTTTATTTGAAAGCGTATATTCGAAAATAGTTTAAGCAAATGTAATATTTACCTCGTCTAGTGAAAAGGTTTGTGTTTTTTATACTTAAAGAATGTTCCCTAACATACTGCTTATTTTTTTGAAATTAAAATATTCTTACTATAATGGTATATTATCCTTGAAAACGGCTTAATATGAAGTCATACTTATTGTGATTCTTTGGTACGAGCACCTAGAATCACTGACGGACAGACTATTATGTGTTTTATATTTGTCGACGTTTCAAAAGTACCAATTTATATTTTAATTGAAATAAATGCTTGATTTGTGATGAGTTTGATTATTTTATTCATTTTTAAGGTTTTGTGAAAATAGCAACTGCAAGTGTCTGTCCAATTGAAAGAAATAATGTCTGCTACAAGTCCTATCTAACTCCAAACTTGGTGTCGACTAATAAATTTAAAAGCAACACATAAGTAAAAATCGGAGGACACGGAATCTTTAAACATTTCTACAAAGGTGAGTGAAGTGATTTTGTTTTTATATTAATTCGGGGAGTTATCTGAGGAATTGTTTGACCTGATACCTGCCGCATGCCGCTGCCTGCTGCATCTTTTCGCCATCGACCCTCACGACAGCATAAGCATCCCCACTATATACATGGTTGGCAGGCCACAACTGTGCGCTTGTCACGTAGCTTTCTGCCTCACGTAGCTGTGCGAACAGCAAAACTGTGGAATGATCTGTTGTCAGCGGTATTTCCGAACCGATACGATCTTCAAACTTCAAGAAAAGGGCGTATTCGTTTTTAAAAGGCCGGCAACGCACCTGTGGCTCCTCTGGTGTTGCGGGGGTCCATGGGCGACGCTGATTGCTTACCATCAGGTGATCCGTCTGTTCGTTTGCCTCCTATACCATAAAATAAAATAAACAAAATGACCGACCGAATTTTCACTCCGAAGAGATAGATATAAAGAGCCCTCCACCTACACGATGCAATGCCACTTTTTAAGAGTTATGTGTATATACTTACTGTGCTCAGTACTCGGTCAATTTCAGACTCACTGGCGTACTCAGAAGAGGCAGTGTGAGAGAGCCATGCTTCGGCACGAATGGGCCGGTTCAACCTGAGTGTACCACGGCCTCACAGAAAACCAACGTGATACGATGCGCTGCGACGCACCATGGACTTTTTTTCTGTATTTCTAAATTCTTGTTGTGTGTCGTAGCAAAATAAATAGTTTTTCTTTCTTTCTTTCTTTCTTGATACAACGCTTATGTTTTATTTATTCGTGTAAGTAATGGAAGCCCAGTTACCCCCTCCCCCCGTCTTCTCCAATCTTCACAATCCCTGAATCCCCAACAATCCTCAAATCCCTAATCCCCAAAAGGCTGGTAACGCTCTTGTAACGCCTCTGGTGTTCCATGTGTCCATGGCCGACGCCGATTGCTTGATCCATCCGCTCGTTTACTCGCTTATCCCATAAAAAAGTACGGTCGTGAGTAAAATATCTCTTCATATCCTGACTTCTTAAACTATTTTGGTATCTTCCGAAAATAATTGCTAAGGACTGGATTAAGTTATCATTTAATGATAATAAGTAGATTAGAAAAGAACCTACGATATTGCTTTAATCGATTTAGGAATTGTAATTGAAACCTTATGCTTATTAATTTTTGGTTAATTTGTACCCATGGCATGTATGTAATGTAAGAAACTTTAATTTTATTTACTTTTAATTTCGCAGGATAAGCTGAAATAACATATTCATCTTGTAGCCTAAGTTACAATCAAATTGGACTAAATGGGACAAATTGAAGAAAATCTATCAAAATATCTATCTAGATTTCAATCAATTATATTTGTCTACATATTCAAACAAATTGTATTTGGTTTAAATATGATAAAAAGTTACCCAGCCGTTTTCTTTTTCTGTTAGATAGGGTCAAACAAACAAAGGGATCATAATTATGATAAATTACTGAAAACTATTAATGGATACCCACAGCATTCTTTAACGTGTACACAAGTAACTTAATATCAGAGAAAAGCCAATCTTTAAAAACATCTTATTTCCTCGCTCATAACAACTCAAACGAAACAAAAAAGAAATTTTGTCAAAGAGAACGGTGTAATTACAAGTCATTGTCTGTGGCGCCGTCGTCCGATTGTTCCGATACGATTGATTAAAATAAAATAGCCTTTTGTATCGTAAACTAACAAATAAATTTGGTCTTTGTGTCGCCACCGATAAAGTCCAGATTTCATTTTTACATTCGCAGCCGATGAATGCAAGAATTACACGTACAGAACGACAGGATACAATTAATGCAATTGATTAAAGTTGTAAGTGACGGGTAGTACAATGGGTATTAAACGTGAGTGCTTTTTAAAATACTCGTGTTACCAAGGAATTATTACGGTTTAATATGGTCGGTTTTCATAATGGTTTGATTACATAAAGTAATATTGGTGTAATTAAAATTACATTCAATACATCGTTAGTCTTTTATAAGTAAATAATATTGATAAGACTAACAAAATGTTAAACAGTATTTCTGATTACGTCACTTACATCTTGATAAACTGTCTGTAACTTAAAAAAAATATTTACTTGAAAGAAACCAATTGTTATTGACCAACAGTTAGAAAAAATAAAAAAGAATAAAAGAACTTATATATAACATAACATCGCGCCTTTTATCCCCAAAGGGGTAGGCAGAGGTACACATTATGCCACTACTATGTAACACCCACTTTTCACTATTTATGTTATGAGTCCCATGTAATAGGGGGTGAGCCTATTGCCATATACCGGGCACAATTCTAGACTCCGTGCTACTATTGAGATTTTTTTTAAAACCCAGTAATTCTTTGCCCGACCCGAGAATCGAACCCGAGACCCAACGAGGCTGTCATTTAAAAAAAACTTATCCAAAATAAAAGTAAACATATATTTATCACTATACCTATATGTGAGTAAAGTTAAAATATATAATTACTTACAGTTAAAACATAAACATAATGACTCAGCATAAAAACAGCATTTCATCAAATTGGCAAAAACTACGTAGTTTATGTAAACAGTTTTAAACTTTATTTGCAGTGGGAAAAAATATTTTATCGCTCACTTTTTAGCTGTGGAACTAAACAGGCAAGTTTTATGACTGCAGACCTACAAAGATATGAAACGCAGTAAAAATGGATGTTCTTAACACTATTTAAGTACTTGTGGGAAAGTGATCGTCAATGCGGTCAAATACAATATCTTAATAATATGCATCTTTGTCTTGGGTCTTTGAGATTCTGGTTTTGGTCCGAAATAGTGAACACCATGCTTATATTAATATGGGGATATATCCAGTATTTTGGTCTACATAGATGCTTCAAAATGTTATGAATAGTCATTCATATAAAGAAATATATCTATATTTAAAAATCATCACTCATCTACATAGTATCTTTGGTAAGTTACTTAATGTTATCAAGCTTAACTATATAAGTTATAAACTCTATTACATTATTTATTAAACTCAATGTCATTTTCATTATTTGTATGTCTCATTTTTTTTATTTTAAGGTCTATTTTTCCTTGGCACCTCCATTTTAGCTTGATCCGTGTAGCTTACTAACAAGGTTGCGGATTCTGAGGTAATTGTATGATAAACGATATCCCCACTCCGTTGCTTGTAGTCGCAAGTTTTTTATGCTTACCGGCGAGCCTGCGAAATTAGCACGACCCTGTTGTTGCTTTAAATGAAAAATATGAACGAAAATTACTAGGTTTAATGTGGATAGTATTATTTTTCCCGTTGTTCAATCGGCGGGTTAGAAACTGTATCGAATCACAAGTTGATTAAACTAATTTGAACTTTTCTTAACTCGTCAAGTACCGTCATAATAGACACAATTATAGAACAGTAGATTGCGGTCACCGGTGACCGCTTGGTGTTTGACAGTTTAATCCACAAAAGACGCAATTTTAACATTTATATACGTGGGATAAGCGTATGTGATATTCCACGCCAAAATCTACCATTGTTTCAAATTTCATTCTGATCCATTCAGCCGTGTTAGCGTAAAAAAGTAACAAACAGATCATCACAAACTTTCGCATTTGTAATATTATAGTAGGATTTCATTCTTGTCCATCAGGCTAAAATAACTAACCTTTGGATTTCGTAGAACTAAGAACAGTTTTCCTTCAATAAATCTCTATTTGTCAATATTGTTCTTAAGTTTAATGGAATTTCCAAGAAATTTCATTAATTTACGTAGTTACTATTTTGTGGTTAGTTGAAGGTCACGTCGGACTATAGTTTCCGTAATACAATGTCTCCTTTAATTCTCCAAAGGGATTACCAGACGTGTATTCCATTATTGTATTTTGGACTCGAGGTCCCAATTATGTTTAATATTATTTTTGAAACTATTATGAAACGTACTAATTTAATTAAAAACACCGGTTTACTCACGTAAAGTGCTGAGAATGGCTCAACTAGTTTCAGATCACAGATGGACTCTTCATCATGAACAAAGTGCGCGCGCAGGGCGACGCGACTTCATGCTGTCTTTATTGTGTTTCTTTTTTTATGACGGAGGAAAATCATCCAATCTCTCTTCTCTTGCCCGGGTGAGATGAGAGGGAGTGTCAGATTCTTATTGACTAAAAACCAACCCGTTCCTACTCCATTGGAGTGTACTTGCATGCACTTGGAGTCGGTGCCCCGGCAACCCGTTAAATCTTCCGCGGCTACGTATAGCGTCATGCGGTCTACGTCAGTTTTTAAGACCAAGCCTGGTTAAGACCCAAGCGGTCACCGGTGTCCGCTCTCCACTGACTTCATTATAAACCCTATTTCCGTCGTTTAGAGACTACTTTTGTATGAACAAATAATGCGAATTTTCGGTACGTTTCCTCATGTGATTAATCTAGTCCTAAAATCCTATAAACCAGAAATGTATCCACCTGAGTAAAATCTTAATAGACTTTTATAGAAGTTTCTTTTGTAATTATTATAAAAACAAATCATGTATTTAGTAAACAGACATACATAGATATTAGGTAGGTATATAATAAGGTCAGGCGTCTAGGTCAGTCATTTTATTGAATAGCATAAATTATGTTCTTGACGTCATTTAATCAAAATTGTTAGAAATAGATGGAATGAATGGAAGTAAATAATGATATACATACAATAGTGATTTTCTTTATTATTCTATTTTTCCGAGTAGTTAGCTGACTTTACATGTTTCCTAAGCCACGGCAACGAAAAACATTTTCGGACTGATAATAATTTAAAGCAAATTTTTAGATAGCCAGCAATGTCTGTATTTATTTCTAACTAGCGACCCGCCCCGGCTTCCCACGGATGCAATGTTCTTATAATAAATATATAAAAATCTTTCTTAATATTCACTCTATCTATTAAAAAAACCGCATCAAAATCCGTTACGTAGTTTTAAAGATCTAAGCATACATAGGGACAGACAGACAGCGGATAGCGACTTTATTTTATACTATGTAGTGACTAGTGGTTTCCAACGATTTTGTCCGCGTAGAATGTTTTTCTTTGTTTTTTTTTTACTTTTGTTTCAATTTTCTAAAATAAAAGTAGCCTATGTTACTTCTTAGTATATTAGCTACATAGTCGTGGTGGCCCGGAGGTTTAAGACGCCCGCTTCTCGTGCATGAGAGTACGGGTTCGAAACCTACCATCGGCAAGTACCAATGTGACTTTTTCCGAATTATATGTACTTTCTAAGATTATCTAGACACCACTGACAGGTGAAGGAAAACATCGTGAGGAAACCTGAGCTTATGATTTCTAATTATAAGTTTGTAATCGGCAACCCGCATTAAGCAAACGTGGTGATTGATGCTCAAGCCTTCTCCGTGTGAGAAGAGGCTTTGCTCAGCAGTGAGCATTTGTAGGCTGTTGATGAATGATGAATATTAGCTACATACCTAATAGTAATAGATTTAGTAATAGATTCGGTCAAACCATTGTAGATATTAGCTAGTACCAACAGACAGACAGACAGACAGACATAAAATGTGAAAATAGTTATTTTAGTATGTATATCGTATGTATATTCATAATGCATGTAGGTAGTAAAAAGACGTTATATAAATATTACA